TAACTTCTCTTTAAACTCTGTTCTAGTTGTAGCCTTCACAGCCTCCTGCAGCAAGGAGTTCCACAGGTTGACTATTTGCTTTGTGAAGAACTTTCTGTTATTAGTTTGAAGCCTGCTACCCATTCCTTTCCTTTGGTGTCCTCTAGTCCTTCTATTATGGGAACTAATGAAGAACTTTTCTTTATGCACTCTCTCCACACCACTCATGCTTTTATAGACCTCTATCATATCCCCCCTCAGTCTCCTCTTTTCTAAGCTGAACAGTCCCAGTCTCTTTAGCCTCTCTTCATATGGGACCTGTTCCAAACCCCTCATCATTTTAGTTGCCCTCCCCTCTCCCACCCTCTCTCTTCCCCTCTCCCACCTCCTTTTCCCAGTCTCCCCAAGTTTTGTTCAATAAAGAGAGTTTCTATTTTTGAACACACGTGTCCTTTATTTTGTACATGAGGAAGGGGGGCTAGGGAGGGGTAAGTTGAAGGAGGTGAGGGAGGAATGGGGTACGAGCCCCAGATAGGGAGGACTAGGGGTGGCTCTGCGGGCTCCTCGGGGTGGCCCCCGATTGACCCCTCCCCCGGATGGCAGCCTGCGGCAAGTGCAGCCGGGCTGATGGCCGAGTGCTGTGATGTGCCCAGTGTGGGCACTCCGGGCACTCCAAGCCAGGACTGCTTTGCAGGCGGGGAACCCCTGAGAACTGTCTGTCCGGGGTGGGGGCCGGGCCCCTTTAAGCACAGCCCTCAGCTAGCCTGAGGCAGCAGCTCCATGCTCTAAGTCCTAACCTGATGCCCTGCCGACACTGCTTCCGGCCATCCTTAACCCCGGTTCAGGGTCCACTCAATGTGGACATGCTAGTTCGAATTAGCAAAATGCTAATTTGAACTAGTTTTTAGGTCTAGATGCACTAGTTCGAATTAGCTTAGTTCGAATTAGTGCGGTAGTGTAGACATACCCTGAGGGATCCAGCCAGGCTCCTTGGGTTGCATCTCCCCTTCCACATGCTGCTGCCTCTTCCCACCCCAGCTCTCCGCCCTCAGGGGTCTGTGGGCCCCCTCCACTCACAGCTGGAGCCTGAGGTATGATGGGGAAGAGGCTCCACTTTGCAAACGTCCAATGCGCCCCGGCCATGGGCGCTGCCTGCCCTGGAGAGACATCCCAGCGCAGTGGGTCAGGAGCCCCGCCCCCTTGGTCTGACGCTGCCCGTTGCCTTCCAGGTGACTGTGAACGAGCATCACTATTTTGAGTTCCAGCACCGCCTGCCACCGGAGGACGTGCACTACCTGGAGGTACACGGCGAGGTGCAGCTGGAGGCCGTCAGCTGGGGAGAGGGCTGCTGTGACAGGAGCTGCCTCACCGAAGGGGCCTGTCCTGGAGCCCCCAGGGC